ATGGATGCTACTTTCCCTTTAAATATCAGCAGCCACACCACAAGATGGCTGCCGAGGCAACAACTACAGCTCCCAGAAGGCCTCGCCACTCACCCAGGTGTGGGTATTTAATGCACCTGATTAAGACAGGATTGGAGAGCTGCAGGAGGAGAGGAGAGAAGAGAGAGCACGTGGCTGGAAGGAGCTCTGAGAACGGCGTACAGAAACGCAGTGGCGGGCCGTGCATTTTATACCTGGGCCTTCACTGCTGTCCTGCAGCTGAATAATCTCAATATGATGCCACAGCTACGGTTATTATTTGTTTTGTGTAAAAATGATACATAAATACGCCGAGAGTGCGTCTCCTCTCTGCTCTGACTGCAGCTGGAGACTGCTGCGAGAGGCTGCTGTGAGAGTGACCGCCTGTCGTGCACGAATGGTACAGAACGGTACGCGCTTTCACGTCAGAGTCAAAACACCAGAAAAGTCGCTAGATTTGTCGCTTGTAGCTTTTGACAAAAAAAGTCGCCAAGAGGGTTTGGAAAGTCGCCAGATTTAGCGAGAAAGTCGCCAAATTGGCGACACTGGTACCTGCTAAATATGTCCCCAGCGAATGGTTCCTATCACATATAAAACCAAACAAAAATCCATCTTCATAAAAACAAATTGTACAAATAATAATAAACAAGCATATTAAAGATACTGCAGATGTAAAAACAAAAGCAGTTAACTTACCAGAGCTGCTGTTCACTATTTAAAGACAAAGTGCATCCTCCTTTCTTTGTTAATAAAGAGTTTAATCTCACGGTTGTTCAGTACATCTGTGCGTTTTAGTTCCAGTAAGAAGTCCTTCTCGATTCATGGACACCTGTGAAGACAGTCGAGCCTCCCCAGTTGTATTTCTTGAATAGGTTTTAATGCTTTTGAGGGCTGAAAATGTCCGCTCCACAGAGGCAGCAGATATTGAGATTGTCACCGCCCAACACGTCAGGCTAGCCCACTGACCAATCACGTACTTGTAGGCCAGCTAGCAGGCTCTGACACGTCAAAGAATACGCCCAACATGTCAAACTAAAGATCTGATTGGTTGAACACTATGACAATCAACAATATCGTCCCCATTTACTTAAACTGCAAAGGGATGCACATGAGAGTCTGCAGGCCTCGGGCCTCTGTTCTTACCTAGAGACACAGAGGTGAAATCTGATTGGATAAAAGCTCTACTTAAAACAAGCTGCACTGGAAGCAGAGCAACTGAGGAAGACAGTAGCTGTGCAATGAGAAAATAAGATAATGGGAAAAATATTAATATAAATTATAATACATGTAGTGTATTTATGAAAAATTATTAAATTATAGAATAGCTATAACTTTGTGATTCTGTTTAGGCCAGCAGAGAAGGCCTTGCAGGCCCTGATGGCCCACCACTGCAGAAAAGTGTTGAACCAGACTGAGTAGGATCCAAAGGAAGAAGAACTGGTAGCCTATGAAACCGAGGACACCCTATGTTGAGTTTTTTAATACTGTTCAGTTGAACAAAGCCTTATCTCCTCGTGGACACTCTTTGTTTGTTTTGGACCTTTTGAGTTGGTTAAAGAAAAATAAACCTTGACCTTTTTCTGGGAATCGTTGATTTTTGCCTGTTTTTATTAATTACCTTGCACCACCCCACCCTAGCCTGCTATATTGACCTCTCATGACATTGCAACCTGTAATATGGCTGCCAGAGGATATGTTACATCACCTGCATGTCCTCTATTCTACTCCGTCTAACACCATGTCATTTGTGGATTGGTGGGAATCAGAGACATCTTTGCAACTCCAACTTTCGGCAGGTCCTCATTCCCAAACTGCACCCACCTCAGTTGTTGTAACTAAAGCCACACTGACCTTCTATTTTATTTAAATGAGAAAGTGAGGGATTTACAACAATGGGGACACACTAGAGACAGAAACTGATTCTCAGACACAGGTTGATGTACGTCCGATACCGATGCTTTTTTTTCACGGCCCTCGACTTCTGATACCGACGCTTTGTCATTGAGACATTCAGGACTTTCCACTAACTACAATGTAACTTTTTGTTGGAATTCACATTGTCAACAATGTTAACAATGTGTTTTCAACCGTGTGCTGGGCTACATAGTGTGATAGAAAATGACGACAAGGGGTTTGACGAAGCATCAGTATGTAACGAGTCGGGAGCATCTGCATGTGACGACCTGGGATTGAGAACGTGTTGGAAGTTCTAGCAGTACCCAGATTAGTCTATATTTATGTCTGACATACATGGACTACGGACCCCAAGAATAAACTGCTGTACAGTAAGAAACAACTAGCATTGCATAAAAGTTATCAGTTATGTAATGTATGTCATCTGAAGAAAAAAAGAGCATTTAATTATTATTTTAGGAAAGTTACAGTTAATATGCATGTTTTGTGAAACTAAACCAGAGAGAGCACATCAGGGAATCTGTGTCTGTCACGGTCCCACCTCCGTGACAGTTATGTTTTTAGTATGCTCTCTCTCTCTCTCTCTCTCTCGCTCTCTCTCTCTCTCTCTCTCTCTGTGCCCCCCCACACCTGTCATCAAGCAATACTCAACAACTGGGAACAAAAAAATTTCCGACCTGCGAGAGAAATTGCAATGAAACGCCACTCAATGTCAGAGCTCAGGTTTAATCCATAAACCTTGTCTGTGCGCTTCCATTGTTGCGTGTCTGATGTCACACGACAATGGTAGCACATGTTGTAAATGTTTAACTGCCAACTACAAGGCAATGTGAAGTATATTTGCCTATATGTATTTAAAATAATACATACTATCATTTAGTAAAACCTGTTCTGCATGTAAATTGATGTCAAAGTGTGTCGCCACGCTATAGCTGTTGACAGTAAACAGTCTCGACAGTTACCTTCTCTGCACAAAATGAATTGTGTGTACACTTGCCAAGGAAACATTAGTTTGTCACGGTATCTCCAGCCAGCCACCAACTCACAGTCCCTGCCTGCTTCTCACGATCAAAGACTTGTTTTCATCTTACCTGCTGGTCTGCTTTTGGGTTCAGCTTTGAAGCGGTACAGTGTCTGCTGCATCTGTGTTCGTCTTCTTCAAAATGACTGCCCCTACCCCCAAGGCAAACATGAACTTAATAAATAGTTGCATCTATTAACACTATTACTGCATGGGCTGCAAGTGGACGTTTTTGAGTGGAGTCCTCCAGGGGAATGTATACATTGGTATTTTTGGAAAAGCATGAATTATAACAGAAACCATGTTATTAATTAACAAAACAATAAGAAATTGGAATGATAGAAAAAAGCACTTTGAGTTTACATGTAATAAAACATGTTATAATAATAAATTGCCAAACCCATCTATGATGGTTGCCATAGATCCTCACGTTGTGCATGTGTAATAAAAAGAGTGAGTCACTGGGTGTGTAGAGGAATGGGAAACATTTGATATGATGTGCGTATCAAAAAGTTATTCTTCGACTATAGGAATGAGCAAGAGAAGTAAAAAAGAAAAAGAAAAAGATGTAGGTAGAACATTATGTATGAGTGCATTTCATTTAGCTGCTGTGCTTTTTGTTTGTTGGGCAGTATTTAAATTGTTTACTGTGCATCACATCCAATTTGTCTTTGTTTTGTGTAACTATGCATTTCATCTTAGGAATGTCTGTGCTTAACACCGTGTATAGATGATATTTGGAACCACCAGGTAGTGCACATCCAGTATAAAAGGGTGGACATTTAAAAATAAAAAAGGCTAGCCCCATTTATGACCACAGCAACAGAAACCAAAGTGCCGACGACTAAAATGCTGAACTCTAGGCTTCAAAACCGTAGTTCACCAACCAATGTTTGACTACGTCCACTTCTTAGATACAGTCTATGGTAGTATAAGGTACCAATTCCTGGACTGATGCCTATCTCGCCTCTGCTGCAGGAAATACCAGCCCAGTGACATGGCAGGTCGTGAAACAACAATGTATTGGTTTTGTGTACATGGACACGAATTGTCTGGTTTTTTTTCGTGTCGCTCAGGGAAAAAAAGAATGCAAGTTGAAAATCAGTTAGAATCCTTTTTCGTGGTGGACGCACATATTAAGCTCATCCATGTCCCCTCTGCTCTTCTCCCTGTACACAAACAGCTGCACCTCCAGTCACCAGTCCGTCAAGCTCTGAAGTTCGCGGATGACACCACCCTCATTGGACTCATCTCTGGTGGGGTTGAGTCCGCCTACAGGTGGGAGACTGACCATCTGGTGGCCTGGTGCGGTCTGAACAACGTAGAGCTCAACGCTCTAAAGACAGTGGAGATGGTTGTGGATTTCAGGAAGAATGCAGCCCCACCAGCCCCTATCACCCTGTGTGACTCCCCCGTTGACGCTGTGGAGTCCTTCCGCTTCCTAGGCTCCATCATAACCCAGGACCTCAAGTGGGAGCTGAACATCAGCTCCATCACCAAGAAGGCTCAGCAGAGGATGTACTTCCTGAGGCAGCTGAAGAAATTCAACCTGCCAAAGACAATGATGGTGCACTTCTACACAGCCATCATTGAGTCCATCCTCTGCTCCTCCATCATGGTCTGGTACGCTGCAGCGCAACATTCGCTCTGCTGAGAGGGTGATTGGCTGCAATCTGCCGTCCCTCCAAGACTTGTTCGCTTCAAGGACCCTGAAGCGAACAAGAAAGATTGTAGCCGACCCCTCTCACCCTGGACATAAACTGTTTGAGCCCCTTCCATCTGGCAGGAGGCTGCGGTCCATCAGGACCAAGACCTCACGCCACATGAGAAGTTTTTTCCTCATCTGCTGTGGGGCTCATCAACAAATCCCGGGACCCCCACTGACGCTGTCATCCCCAGGAAAATTTCCTTCAGGTACACTCCCCTGCACATCCCTTCTGATTCTTTATTTAAATACACCTGACACTTTACATTACTTTACATTAAACTTACATTTTACATTTATAGTACTGTTAACAATCTGAATGAGTGACAACCACACACACAGTTATGACAAATGCTTTGAGCTTTAATTGGTTGAATTTAAGAGGTTACATAGTAGTAAACATACTGGTTACACACAGTAATGAAATCATCCACTCGAGCCACATGTGCGTTTCACACCTCATCTTCATGCTGTCAGACTTCCTTAGAAGATAAAAGGAAAAAAAAAAAGCTCACACCCTGCAGTTTGAGTCTCCACAGCGTCAAGGAGAGCAAGCTCACACATTCTCATCCCCAACATCACCATCATCATTTTCAACATCTCACAATCCACAGCAACACAACCTTCATTCTCCTTCGCTCTGTCTGGAATACTTGAAATAGTCAGTCCGGGGTTAAGACCCCCTGCAACAGGCCAACCGGTGAGAGTTCACATCTAGCACCACGGGAGCTTCAATAGTAACTGGTTTGGTGAAAACAGAGTCCATCATTTGCTGCTCTCATGGCGCCTGCAAAGTCCTCTCCAAACAGCGACGAGTTTTTTTGGTGGTGCTTTTCACTTTTATTATTATTTTAAGAACTTGGAACTTCGAAGGAACTGAAAGAAGACATTATTTCTACCTCATTTCAATCAAGTAACACAAGTAGACTTCAAGTATGGAGTAATGCATAACTTACATCCCGGCCAGGTCATCATCATCAAGCCAAGCGAGGGGGGGAAATACATCTGAATGCCAGCGAAAACACCAGATACAATGAAGTCAAAATGATAACAAAGAGGTGCTACAATAACGTAATAATCAAACTAAATGTAGAAAACATAACAAAATAAAATGTTAGTCATCTGCATTTCAGAATAAAAGACTGTGAAAATTAAGGAAAAATACAGTCAGCCTCAGTCTAGAAAATAGAATTAGTGCATCATTGTTAGATTTTAATATCCATACATATCCGCAACATATCACGCATGAAAAAAAGCACTGAAATACTCAGCCGTACATTAAGCTCCGAAATGTATCAAGAACACTTTATCAACGCTACATTTGTTGAGGCAAACGGGGCTAGCTAGCAGAGATCTGGATGTGCGTACTGGTAGAAGTATTTATTCTCTCCTGTCCTTGAGTCCAACAGCGACAGAGCTTCCAAAGCAACGTATCTAAACCGTTTTTAGATATATGGCTTTGGTTCCAGAGAAGCAAAGGCAGTGGCGGTAAACGCTGCTCCCTTCCTGTTCAGTTCAGTGATAGTTTTGGACCCCTTTGTCCAAAAACATAAAGTTCAAAGGCAAAGCCATAAATCATAATATTAGATGAGGTGAATATTACTAGACTAATGTAATATTGGATTACTTTGATGTTTAATCCAGTATTTTTTTTAAAATATGGTTTTGGTTCCAGAGCAGCAGGTCAGCCCTCTAATCTGACACTGCCCCCTGCTGGTCTGGTAGGTTACCAGCTAAAATGACCCACAGATGATTTTGCTCCAGGTACAGGCAAAAAAAAATAAAAAAATAAAAAAATGAGGGGCTGAGAAAAGGGACCAGCTCCTCCAAATCATACCTGGGCAAAATATCTGTGAATATGGTTTACAAGATTCCTAAACCCTTTAAAACCCTAAGAATATTACCAGTGCCATTTAGAGTTATAGCTTATTTACCATTGTCTGTGTGTAGTTTCCTTCATTGCAGTCATTTAGCAATAACCACCATGTTAAATTAGATAAATTTTTTGTTTTTGTTTCAACACTGAAATCATGTCAAGCCAGGACGATTGGCACGACTGACAAAAAACACCAGTAAAACCCTTTAAAAGGTGAAGGCATTGGCCAGTTGAGATGTAGAAACTAAGTTTGGCTGCCCTTGAGCCTAATTGTTCTGGTCAAAATGCTCTCTTAACACTACCTTAAACAAGGCTGTACACATAGTACACAAGTACTTCCTGGTGTGACACTCGGTGTGCTTTAATCACATTGAGGGTTGACCCTGTATCCTGGTGTTTTGAAGGAATAGTGTGTACACACAAGACAACTGAAGAGGAGGGTAAAGAGGAGTAAAGTACCAGCAGAGATTTGAATGAGTCATTGAGGGGAATAGATCACCACCTCATCTACGACACCTAGCTCAAATTACGTGACAATGTGAAATGTCAGACTCCATCAGATCTGAGTCATCCCTCCCACAGAGAAACTCCTTGTTTTACTCCTGTGCCGATTCAGCTTGTTCAGCTTGTTTTTTTCCTCCTTCCTTGCACTATAACAGGTCGGGGAGGTGGCTGTAGACCGAGTCAAGCAGTGTCTGGCTGGCCTCCTGACTCTTGACCCCCGCGATCTCAAACAGCTGGTCCAGCCGGTCCTCGGCAGCCGGGATCTCCTCGATGACGTGCAGCTCCTCCGGGTTCAGGATGTGCAGCATGTCGTCGAAGATGGGCTGCAGGTCGCACGGGTCCAGACGCACCTGCCGGAGCACGGTGTCTTTCTTCTCTGAAGGGGAAACGGAGAGGGTGAACGGTTATTGGGATTAAAGCTAATCTAATCAATATATTCATATTAACAATGGATCATAAGACTATGTGACAGGGGTTCACTCGTGGTGATAAACCCACGCTCAATTCTGTTGTCTACCTCAGCTCTACAAAGCATTTTAGCATCTTAGAGATCATTGTTTTGGTTTTACTGTTTTGGTTCATTCTCACAGCTGTCATGTTTTCGGCCGTGTGTGCGTGCATGTGTGGGTCTGTCTGTCCTCGCGTAATAGCCCAAAACCCATCAGCCTAATATAATTTGTGCTAATTTATGACTGTTTGCTCAAGGACCTCTCGTGGTAGCAGGGATTCACACTTTTGGAAAACTGACTGACTTGCATTCATTCATTCAATCAGACTTTACAGCAGTGGTCTTTGCAGACACACAGATCTGTGCTCTACTGCTCTTTTCTAGTTTGTCACTGTTTTCAGATGCAACAGGCAGTTTTCATCAAGAAAGCTCGAATAAAACCACTGTGCGCTACCTTTCAAGCACCAAGCAGCAGACAATTATCAACTCACTAGTTGCTGAGCATTGTGGAGAATTTAGCTGCAAAAGAGCCAGATAATTATCTGAAGAGTTAGTTAAAAACTAAAGCAGAGAAAAGTGAATTTTTCCTCCAAGTGGGCCAAAATGCAGGTTTAATGATATGTAACAAATCTGAGCTTTGAAGGCCTGGTCACACCAACATTTAAAAAAACAAAAATCAATTCAGATGTAGTCAATCTGAACAGTGGATTGGCCTGTCTGGCCAATAGCAAGCTGCCGTTACATCGCTGACCTTTGACTGAACTGACGGAGAGTCCAAGAAGGGGGATGCTATAGTAGCTTGTTAGCTTTGCTTCACCATCCACTTATGTTGAAGCCGTGTGGTCCCAAGTCAAGCCAGGAGTGGATGGTACAAATACATCTTGTGAATAGTCTGTGTGAACTTATTGTTACGTTGGTGACCTTGCTGACGAGCTGGATAACTGCCAGCTAGCAAACAGTAGGAACATGTGTACAAAGTTCATCATGACTGTTAGCAGTTGGCAAGAACTAATAGAAGTCAATAACAAACAATTATAATCAGTAATACAATCATCGGCCCTGATTAACCCCAGTCACACATCTATCAAATCTATAAGGATCTTTAAAGTAAAACACGCTGGCATATTGACATTTGTATAAACATCCCATAAATTGAGGCTACAGATTGCAGTGTTCTTTTATCACATAATTTAAATGCATTCTTATTGCTATTACAATATGAGACATGAGGAAATGCAAAAAAATGGTTTTCTTTTAGCAACAACACCCGGAGGGACCACATGAGGTCAGTCAGCATCCACACGTCCATGTTTGAACTGCTGTCGCACAGCTTTCTATGAGTGCAAGACGCCTGAATGAGTGTGAAGATGGAAAGAAACGGCTGATACTCACACAGGCCACTGCTAACAAACCACAGTCTCTCCTCTGAGAACCATCACATGTCTTGGCGACCAGAAATGCCTTGTCGGGTAAAAACATGTGGGACATGTGGGAGCGAGTCTCCAAAAACACTCCAGGTCACTTGATATACTAACAGTGTCTGACACCTGAAGCATTTAAAAACACACTTGTTGCACACTGCCAAAATGTCGGCCACAGTTAAGAAATGGAAATGCTACAGCTCCATTAAGCAAGAGGTTGATGTGAAAATAGAAGCAACCCTATTAGTCTTCACTCAGTGAAGATGTAACAGAGACACAATGAAACTTTTCCTTTATCATCTTTTTGGTTCCGTCAGACATAAAACGCAGACTTGCCTCAGCATGGAACATTTCTATTCTATCTATGTGTCGACTGTGGGATAACAAACAAAGCAAGCTGCTCCTGAGCGCCAGGGGCCCTTTCATGAAGAAGGACCCTGTGTTACAATCTTCACTGTTTCAAGTTGTGTGCTTCTATATTGCATATTCATAAATTAATATGTTTTCACCACACAGCAAAACTGGAGTCAGATAGATAGTATTCTATCATAGAAAGACTTTCTTAAAGTGGTAAGAATCTGTGGTTACTGCTAGCAACACAATCCCACTGACAACTCATCGAATGCCGACGCTTGGCCTCACGATTCAATTTATGACGCTCTAGATACCCCTTTAGCATCAGTTTTGGACGTGTCATGGTGTCTTTTCAAATTTAACTTCCGTGTTCCCAGAAAACATACAGTTTCCACTCGTTGTATGAATACAGTGTCTTTTAAAAGATAAACTTCTAACGGTAGGTACTTCGTTTTTTAGGTTTACTTACGCAACACAACTACTTGGTTAGGTTTAGGAAAAGATCTTGGTTCGGGTTGAAATAAGTAAGTGCGTTGCGTAACTGGTGTTAGTAAAGTATGGAAGTGACGTAACAAAAGTGCAGTAAAATAAGTCAACGTTAACTTTTTGGTTTCAAATGAGACACAGTTTGTTTGACCCATCCAACCTCGATGCTCGGACATTCACATTCTTTACACCACGTCAGTTGATCTGACCGTCGAGTAGTGAGGCGGAAGGGTGTAAATTGGAGTTAGTTTAAAGCCTGATGCGTCTCAAACAAGACGCTCTATTCCTCTGATGGCGATTTTCATGTAAGATGTAAGGCACTTCCCGAATGTTACAATCTCAGTTGTAATTGCAGTCATGGTTGATAAAGGTGTACTTTTTAAACTATGCTAACAGTACAGTCATACCAAAAGAGTGGCCCTGGTTTCTGGGCACTGACACTGTTTCACGGATAACTCTCTCACCTTTGGTAATGAAGGAGCCGTTCCTGCTGAGGGCGGAATCTTTGCTGGAGGTGGAGTCACAGCGGAGCAGGGGCTCTGATTCGTCGGGGAAGAAGCCCTTGGTGCGGTCCAGCGGCGACTGCTCCACGCCCATGCTGCTGGCCCCGGCGACGCTACCGCCGCTGGCCCTGGCGACGCTACCGCCGCTGCCGACGCTGCTGGGGGACTCCAGCGGCTTGTGGATGGGACTGAGTCTTTGGCTTACATTCACTGAGGTCATCAGCTGGTTGATGTCAAACTGTAGATAGAAACAGAAAGATGGGAGGAGTGGAGAGTGAGGACAAGAGGAGAAAATAAACATGAGCGTGTGACGAACCAATAATCACACACACACAGATACACAGGCTGGTATTTGCTGCCCACTGGGCACAATTCCACATCCTTGTCCTGTATCTCTTCATTTCTTCATCGCCCTCATTCTCAACTCTCTTATTACAATAACAAACAATTATAATCTTAGTAATACAATCATCGGCCCTGATTAACCCCAGTTACACATCTATCAAATCTATAGGGATCTTTAAAGTAAAACACGCTGGCACATTGACATTTGTATAAACAAATTTTCTACAAATTTGTATAAAATATCCCATAAATTGTGGCTACAGATTGCAGTGTTCTTTTATCACATAATTTAAATGCATTCTTATTGCTATTACAATATGAGACATGAGGAAATGCAAAAAAATGGTTTTCTTTTAGCAACAACACCCGGAGGGACCACATGAGGTCAGTCAGCATCCACACGTCCATGTTTGAACTGCTGTCGCACAGCTTTCTATGAGTGCAAGACGCCTGAATGAGTGTGAAGATGGAAAGAAACGGCTGATACTCACACAGGCCACTGCTAACAAACCACAGTCTCTCCTCTGAGAACCATCACATGTCTTGGCGACCAGAAATGCCTTGTCGGGTAAAAACATGTGGGACATGTGGGAGCGAGTCTCCAAAAGCACTCCAGGTCACTTGATATACTAACAGTGTCTGACACCTGAAGCAGACACACTTGTTGCACACTTGTTGCACACTTGTTGCCTGCCAAAATGTCGGCCACAGTTAAGAAATGGAAATGCTAAGCTGGGCAAGTCCCCAGTCATGTCACAAGTTAAGACAGGCAAGTCCAGAGGCAGGCCCCAAGTCCCCAAACTTTGAGTTTCGAATTCAAAACAAGTCATAATGCGCTCTTTACCAAATGTAATGGCATTACGGAATAAAAATATATTCAATTTACAAACATCATGAATGCTTTTTTGAATTTTGTATTCATTTGTTAAAACAAGTGCGACTGAACTTAATCATCATTCAAAAAAAAGACTCAAGTCATCTTTTCTTCTTTATCTCATTAAAAAAAACCTAAATATTTCTCAGTACATTTTTATCTGTTTAGCTCCACATCCTTTCATATTTGTGCACTCATCTATTCTTCTAACTCTTTCTTTGTAGTTAAACCTTTCTTTACCCCTTCAATTTAATCACTGTTTCTTTCTTTCTCATCCATCTATGCCTCCTCCATCATTATTCTTCCTCCCTCATCTTTTCCTCCCCCTCTTTTTTCTCTCCCTTTGTCCCATTTTGTTTCAGTTTCCCTCCCTATCGCTTCGTCAGCCTCTCTTTTTCTCTCTCCTTCCTCTATTGTTGCAACCCCTCCTCTCCCCCCGCTCTCTCTCTCTCTCCCTCTTTGGTGTGGTAATGAACCTGTGGTCTGAACCAGTAGCGACTGGTTTGCGGATGAGATCATGAGAGCTCGTCTCGGTTCCCTCAGTGTGAGCCCAGTCTGGCCTAACGGTCGCAGCAGCAGAGAGGTCATTTCATTGGCTGCAAACACTGGAAATGGAAAACAGAACCAACAAAGAAAAATAAACGTTCTTTCCTCATGATGATGAATCCATCTTCATGCTGTGGAGGATTTCTGCTCAGCTCAACATCAGGCCTGATGAATTAGCTCCAGCGGGACGTGACACAGAAACACCAGTTCTCTTTCTCTGGTGCTTTTTATTTCTTTATTCCATAATGTCTGGGTCACTGGGCTGCAGCGTGACACAACAAGCTGTGTCCAGCTGACAAAGGCGTGCATACATACATACACAGACACGTACCCACACCGTCACAAAAGACACGCAGGCTTTCACACGGCAGCACATGTAACTGGAACATAATAGCAGGCCAAATTATACAACCTGATATTCAACTTTGTGGCTCAGATCTAAATTTATTGCTAGTTCTTTGCAGATTTGGCTCAAAAAGTAGTGAAATTTACTTACATTTTTTCAAAATGTACCTATTTGGTTACTTTATTTGGTTGATTGTGGGAAAAAATACGTTTTAAAAAGATTTTTTTTTTTTTTACGGCTGTCGCCATGTTGTTTTTTTTGTGACCAATGAACAGATGTCCCCATGTTTGGAGTGCGGAGGAGTAGAGATGCTGTATACGGCTCTGGTAGCGGCAGCAACCTGTCAATCACAGTAGCCCCGCCCTAAATCATCCCATGCTTTATGGTCTGTTTGACTCTAAATGGACCATAGTTTACTAAATGAACATCATGCTGTATTGAAGAAGACTTGAAACTAGAGATTGAGACCATAAACTCATGTTTACAATGTTTACTGAGGTAATAAATCAAGAGAGAAGTAGAGTCATTTTCTCATAGACTTCTATACAATCAGAGGAGTCGCCCCCTGCTGGTTAGTAGAGAGAATGTAAGGTTTAAGACACTTCTGCATTGACTTCAATCGGCAAAACCGGAGGTTGCCAAGTGGTTAAACATCAAGGAATAAAGATGAATAAAGCACTTTTCAATGCTGACACGTCCTCTCTATTAGGGTTGAGGTAGAAGTAGGGCTGGGTATTGTTTAAAAAAATGACGATGCCAGTAGCTGCCAGCCGCCCACTCATAAATCCCTGTTTGCAGAGCCGTGTGCCGGCATTCTATCCCTGTATGGGTTGTAGCTTATGCGGTAGTCGGTCATTGACAATTGTGGTGATTCGCTGCCAGCAAAAGCATACAAAATGTCAAGAGGAGATTTGATACTACTTGGTACTGGGTTATACGGATATCCTAGAGAGAAGTTTTCTTTTTGGTTTGTTGTTTTTCTGACGCTTTGCAAATAAGGTTTGTGTCGCTCACCAATTGGCGTGCAAATAACACAACAATTTGTAAGTCATTTAGCGTGCAATAACTGCGGCATACATGTCACGTAGTCTGTACTGACTGCAATGTAAACACATGAGCGGGGGAATGCTATGCTCAGAGCCAAAGGGAAAAAGACTACTTATTTGATAAAACAAACACAGGACTTTCAACCAGGAGACTGGTCCCAAAGTGTTCCTGAGTTATTTTGAAGTTAGTGATGCCACATTGTTTTTCGCTTATCTTACTTTACATGCTTACTTTTAGCCCAACCATGATGTTTTTGCCCATGTTTGTTGCCAAAACCCAACTGCGGCAGATTCACGGAAACAACGTGGTGTGCAATGACATGCAAAAAGCCTAAAACGCGTCCTTAAAGCCCTGCTACTTACACGCCTTCCCATATACATGGGCGATGCAGTCATTGCCATACAATAGATCACACCACCAGTGACAAACTCTGACCCGCTCCCCCCTCTGGTAGAGCACTTTGCGTACATCTGCCACTCTGTCTGAGGGCCTCTCACACCGCATTGGAATCTGGTTTCCTCACGCTGGCAGCCTTCAGCGGCTCTTTGCCGAGCTACCGAGGACGGAGCTGGAGCGCTGAGGGGTCACTGCGAGGAAGAACGGCACCGCTGTTCCAGAAAGCTCCCAGGCTGGTGTGTGTGTGTGTGTGTGTGTGCGTGTGTGAGAGAAAAAGATCAGCCTGAGTTGCTGACTGCTCCTGTCAGCACAACACAATGCCTGCTGGGGACAGGGACTTAAACGCACACACACATATACACACACACACACACACATACACACACACACATACAGACTGAGCCAGCCAGCCCCACTGTTAGAGTTGGCAGAGTACTGCAGAGTGAAGGGCACAGGGGACAGACACACACATTCACACACGCACACATACACACACACTAGAGATGTGTTGATTAATGAGATCCAAAAAAAAGTATCTCACTCAGCTGTAATTACTCTAAACAGATGAGCTATTAACTAAGAAGTAGCTAAGTCAGGAACTTGTCCCAACACAGCATCAACCCAACTTTGATAGAATCTATGATGTCACCGTACATTCAGCCTTTACCACTAATTCATCTATGACATTTTAAGTACATCTTCGAATGGATAAGCCCTCTTATTAATGCATATTCAAATGTCTAACATACTCACAAACACGTGCAGATAATCTCTCTGACTTTTAAAAGAATCAATGCAGTTTCTGGGAATTTTGTCCTTTTCTCCAGAAAGTAATGGATGTGGTTTCATTTCATCCGCTTATGGGGCTGTTTATGGAAGGGACTGAAAGCCGTCTAATAGGACCCGAGTCATAAACACCCAATTATGGAAGAAATTGCACTTGATTGTGCATCATTGTGGCAGGAAGGGATAATGACTCCTGTGTGTTGTAGTTTGTTGTGAATTCCCCTCTCAGAGAAAGGCGTAGAAAGAGAAGGAGGCGCATCACTTCCTGCTTGTGTGTATCCGTGTGTCCTGTGAATAATGTACTCATTGAAAACCAAACTCACTTTCTAGCTCCATCCTCTCGTGTCATTTTACTTGGTCATCACCATCTTGTTTTTTTATTGTCATCATCTAGGTTTTTGATCATCGCCATCTTGGTTTTTGTAGCCCCGCCCTAAATCATCCCCTGCTTTATGGTCTGTTTGACTCTAAATGGAGCATCATTTACTAAATGAACATCATGCTGTATTTAAGAAGACTTGAAACTAGAGATTGAGACCATAAACTCATGTTTACAATGTTTACTGAGGGAATAAATCAAGTGAGAAGTAGAGTCATTTTCTCATAGACTTCTATACAATCAGACTTATTTTTAGCAACCAATGGGGGTCGCCCTCTGCTGGACATTAGAACGAATGCATGTTTAAGGCTTTTCAGACCTGGAGGTTGCTGCCAGGTCAGTCCCCACTTCCGGCTGTGCTAAACTCCGGGTTTGACGAGAAACACCAAAAAACATCACGACTATACATTTTATACATTCTCATAATAATCCAATGACTTGGCTGATGAATTTAAATAATGGTAGTGAGATGGATCATGAAGGCAGCATTGACTCATTCACTTCAACAGCAAATATGATATTTCTATAGCTGTTCTTGTGGTGGTCCATTATTTCTTCACACTTTTAAATCTTTTTCTGATATTTTGAAAGACTTACACGAACAATTTTGACTTTATGTCTTTATGTTAACCAAAAAGACTGAACAGCAAAGAAAAACAATTACCATGTTTCCCCTTTGATGATTCATTGTTTTCACTCCTCCCCCAGGACAGCTCGGTCTGCTGCGGTCTCTAACATGATGCATTCATTAGCCACACTCAGAAGACTTATCGAAGTGAAACACCATGGCTTCTCTTTAATCACTTATTTGTACACACAGATCACACTAGAAAAGCAAGCAGGCAGCTATTAAACATGTATTTATGGCATGAATAAAGCGTGTATTGTTGTTACTTGACAAGAAGTCGACTATAATCTAAAATTATTTGTATACAGAGACTAAGATTAGTCAACTTCCTGTCAACTATTCAGAATACATTTGGTTGCTTTCCAAGTGTAAAATGAGTCTTCTTGTCACATACACTACACCAGATAGCAGTGCTATTGGTACTGGGTAAACATTTTGGATACAGGTCAGTATAATTGTGGGGACTGCACATACTCAAGGTTTTATTTTTGATCTGACTGCTTTGCAGACTCACTTATTGTTCTACAGTCTGCAGCAGCAGAGATACCAATAGAAACATCCATCAACCAGCTGACACTCAGTTGTTCCAATGGGAATACCATCGATACAGTGAATGGTTTTTTTTCTACTCTGTGAAATGATGGTACCAAGGATTGAATTAGGTACCAGGTCCAGATCGGTCAGAGCAGTTGTAGCAGTCCCTGAGTACTTGCTGCCATTTCTATATTCCTAATAGGGACATTCCCGCCCCTTCTTGTGGACCATTTCAGAAAAATGAATTGTACGCCAGTAAATGGTGCGAGACAAATGATTTTTTAATCCCCTTTGAATTTTAAAAGATACATTTGCACGTCAAGAATGTATGAGACTGTGAAAAGACATAACTAGAAAGACTTTACCCCCAACTTTGTCTCTCTCTCTAGCTGAAGCTACTGTGTGTTTCATACTTGGATGAACAAACACCAACGATGAGGTCTTGCTCGTTCTCTCCCTTTGTGACGGTTTGTTTCTCTAAGTAAATATGTCTGTGTTTGGGAACTGGTTCACAGACTACTTCCTGATTGGCTGATCTGGGGAATCAGTACCCTCATTCAGTCATGCCAAAAAACCTCAGTTTGCAATCAGTCATTTATTAGGTATTTTCAGTTTGCCTTCTGTTAAATTAGGCAAATAACCAGAAAATCTCTCAACAAAATAAGAACACACACTACATGGTAGGTGGTCACCTGAAAATTACGTCCACGTGTACTGTAATAGTTCAATGGGTCATTCCAAAACCATGGACAGTAATTTGATGCTATAACAGCCCTCGCTCTTCTGGGAAGGCTTTTCAAATCAGATTTTGGAAGCCGATGTTGGGTGATGAGCCCCGGCTCTCAGTCAGTGTTCTAGCTCATTCCAAATGTGTTGGATAGTGGTTAAAGTTTAAGGTCTTCAACGCCAAACTGGGAAAATCCTTTTCTTAATGGAGTTGGCTTGGTGCGTGTGGGCATTGTGACAAACACAAACCATTAAAAACAGCCCCAAACTGCACAAGACACACCGTCTTGTGTGAGACACATGGGGTGTCCACATACTATTGGCCATACTGTGTTTCTGTCCGTCTTAAATCAAGTTAATTAAGTATGAATATTGTTCCAACGGGGCCCTTTTCAACATACTGAATTCTCCGTAATCACCATGCCTCCCCCTCGCCAAACATTTTCATTATCTGCTATCTTATCCAAAGAGAGACAAATATCGCCGGAGATGATCTGCTCATTATTAAGCTGCGATGAAAGGACAAATTACAACGGATGACTAAAGAGCTGAGACACTGAGACAGCCGGAGCTTTTTCAAAACAAGGCTGTGACTGTGCATCGCTGACCGTGGACAGTGCAGTCAAGGGCACCAAGATATGAATCACTGGAAAGTTAATAGAGAGTAAGAAGTAAGTAAATGGTGATGAAGGATTCGGTGTATCCCCTTTGTTTGTGGCTTTTTGTTTGTGTTCTGAGGAGATTACAGTATGAGGCTGATACCAGAAGGCCCATGACTGAGGTTGGACATGCGAGTTGTGTAATCAATAGCAGTCATCCTGCTACACACATGCACCAGGCTGCATCATGTCAACACATGTGCGCAGGTTTCAGAGGAAGAAAAGTATGAGATTTATGTTTGTGAAACTAGCTCGTCCCCTGTAGATGCAACTAATAGAGGAGCCAAGTCTAAATGTTCGTGGTTTGTGTGTTCAACCACTATCACTGATCAACCAAAGCAGGGGTCGGCAACCTGCGGCTCGAGAGCGGCATGCGGCTCTTCAGCCCCTCTGTTGCGGCTCCCTGAGTCTACATCCACAATAATACGTTTTTCTTAAACGATCTCCGTCCACATGATTTCAGCATCATTTTCTCAATCAGTGGTCCCCAACCGGGCCGCGGACCGGTACCGGGCCGTGGATCATTTGGTACCGGGCCGCACAGAAAGAATACATATATTATTACCGTTTTATTGATTATCAGATTCTGAAAGAAGTTTTATTTTGAAAAATGACCGGATTCTCTCGCAATTTCATCCGCCTGTGCCTCTTGACACATGTCAAAACGCTTGTCTCGCTCACGTGATACGTTACCTCAAAAACTAAGCCCGCAAACTAGCGAAAATTAGTAAATTACTTTTGGAGAGCGTCTTTGCAAAGGGGACAAGGTCCACTAAGGAGACAGAAAAAGAGCCTACAACTTCCAAGACAATGAAAGCTTCATTTAACAGACAATATCAGGAGTCTAATTAAATATGAGGAGTCATTCTGACGCGCCAAGCCCGCTCTGCAGAATATGTGGCGACAGAGGAAGATCAGCTGCTGGAGATTGTAAATGACGGTGGCCTTAAAAGTATGTTTGAGACAACAACTCTGCTGGTGTTTGGATTAAACTCAAGGCTGAATATCCTGAGATCGCCACTAAAGCACTGAAAACCCTGCTTCCATTTCCAACATCCTCTTTGTGAAGCGGGATGTTCTGCAGTGACGGCAATCAAAAGAAAAGGGAGTCGACTGGACATCAGGAACAGACTTCGGGTGTCATTGTCTCCTATTACCCCCAGATGGGACAGTCTCGTTGCAGAGAAACAAGCTCAGGGCTCCCACTGATTCAGCATTATTGTGAGTTGTATTTATTAATGCATTTTATATTTGTTTTCATGCCGATCGTATCATTTTATTTCGTCGTGTTTTTCCGCCACACCTTGAAGGCCGGTCCGTGAAAATATTGTCTTACATGAAACCGTGGTGCAAAAAAGGTTCAGTTGCATATGCGTGTGTGTCCGTGAGTGAATGTGTGCAACTATGTGTCTTTCCACGGCTAATCTCGCATTCTGCTGCAGCAAACTGTATAATATTTTGGGCAGCCAGTTATGGCTGCATACTCTCGGACCTCTCGTGGTTGCGGCGACTCACACTTTCTCAAAACAGCTTTGTTATTGCCTGCTTGCTGACTCCTCACTCACTACTCGTAACGGTCAGTATCAGTAGAGGGGCCGCTACTGATAACACATCAGGGGGTAGTCGCCGACCCCCGTCTGCTGTTTAGTGCCCAGAGTGTCTTGGATGGTGTGTGTGGCTAACTAACAGTACACATGTTCACGAGAAATGTAGTATATCTCAATAAACGGACTAATAACAGAAAAAAACTGATTCAAATGTCCCATTGGGGCCATTGGGTCCCAATGTTCCATTCTGTCCTCAAACAGACAAAGTCACACCACTTCCTCCCTCATGATCTCACTCATCCCAACACGCATTTTCCATTACTCTGTAGTTTTTGCAGAGAGCGGCTGCAACACTTAGTGTAATCACTGCTTCAACATCAAATCATTCTCCCAAAGTGAGCCGTTGCTTTAAAGTGAGGAATGCAGCTAAACCACAGGGACTGGTTCCAGCGGGACACGCAGCTCTCCTCACAGATTAGATTTCAGTTGGAGGGAGATGCAAAGAACAGCGTGTACTACAGCTTGTGCCAGCGATGTTGACGGAGCTGAAGAGGGAAAAGATGTGTACACAGGGAGAGGTCAAAGATATTCCCCTGCCACACTTCTGAATACAAGCTGGTTCTAAACAGTCTTGCCCACACATCCATCCGGCCTACCTGTGGGTTGTCCTCCATGACACAGCGGATCTTCTCCACCACGTCGATGCGGCGCTGTCTGTGCAGGGCATTGATCAGCTTGGCCAGGTTAGGGTCGGCATCCCGGATGGTCCAGTGCTGCAGCGCGGCGTACGCCCGTTCGTGATCCGACGAGTAGCCGTTTGAGAAGGCGGCCACCTCCCTCTCCGTGGCATTGGCCAGCGACTGATAGATGTCTATCCATTGGGTGCCCACATGGGCCGCCACCAGCTTCAAGATATCCACCCCTGAGCAGAGAAAGAAAAGTTAGAGAACGCAAGCTTAAAGGTTGACTACATTTGGGTTCTTTTCCAAGGTTTTCAAATGGAAACGCCCACTCAGCCTTTAGCAAAAAAATTGCTTAGTTTCCTTGCCGGTACATTGACTATAAGGATGGATATATACTAAATATGTAGCAGCGTCTCCATGCGTAAACCTACGTTGGGTCACGTGGGGAAAGGTTTTCAGACGGGCTTGGGAAAATTGCATTTGACGCTAAAACAGACCTACTTCAACCAAAATGTTGGGATTTGAATACATAAGGAACACTGGGAAATTACAGAATGATTAAAAAAAACTCACAAAACCCCCCATTATAATAATAAACCCGCTCTTTAAGGTTGAAAGAAGAAAGGCTTGTGATCATTTGTTGAACCACTATTCAGTATAAAAAAACGAGACTCAGATGATTGCTGGATTTCCTCTTAATTGAAGAATGTAGCTGTATGCTGTGCTAACTAACAGGATGCAGCAGCAAACAATTGCCTCATTTCTAACTAATGGAGCCCTCATGCTATCCGCCACACAATATACCATTGTTCTCTTTCCGTCAATTACACTGAACTTCTATAAGGTCTGTGAATGAGAGTGTGTCTGGAATTACACTGTCTCAGCTTGTGCAACTAGTGTTTCATCTCTTTAGTCCCGTGCTCTTTAGTGTGTGGAGGAATGCATTTGTTAGCGCCACAGTTTTGCAGGAGTTATATGACTATATGCATTGTCCGTTAATGACGAAGCATCCCATCATGCTGTGCAGAAGAGCAAGTTGATCCTCTTCAGGGTGTCCAACTTAGTCATGAGGCCAGTAGCACTCGAGGAGCTCAAAGAATCCACTCAGTGCAACAGATCCCCCTCTTAACCAACACCTCCGCTTTCCACACACTGTCATGCAACAGACAGCATGTCATTAGTCTTTGATCCCTCTGGATCAGCTGAGGCAGTCTCTTACTTTAGTATGTGGACACACACCTGCTGTGTCGTTGGAAGTAGGAAATAGACAGAGTCATTAATCTTGAAGACAGACAGCTGTTTAGCCAATGCCGGTCTGATTCCCAAAAGTGTTTGTGATTTCACCAAACACGTCAAGTTGGGTCGATCACAGTGGAGAATCAATCAAATTTGAAACTTATTAGAATTAGTATCATTAGCATGTTTCTTTTTGTTGTTGTTAGATTTCATATTTGGTTAATTCAAGCACACACCATGGTCTTCTACGGAAAACCAGGGCCTGTAGACAGAGCTCACATGGACTCACAAGTGTTTTTGTTGTGTAACCGGGAAGTTCAGTGCAGGAGCAGTCATAAACAAATACTGGACCTGTCGACACTTGCTGTTATTTATCTGGTGCTCATACCAGTTAAGGATACGTGAAGAAATATAGAACATGGACACCAGGGAAGACTGCATTCGGTACTTGAAAGAATCTGGCAATCCGATACGTATACAGGGGTTATGATTAACTATATTGCGATAGAAAAACTGTCCTAGAAAATTCTTGGAACCCACTGGCTATTGTTCGGACAATGATCAGCCTCTGGGGTCAAGGAACTTTTTTTCTGGGGTCTGCTGTTTAAAACCCATTAGTCATAGTACAAAGAACACACAACCATCTAAAAAATGGGAAAAAAGGTTTACTTTTGTTATGACGGATCTGATCACTGTAACATCCAACATCAAAACGCTACTTATCTGTGCAATGTGAGCAAATAAATTACTATTAATCAGTAAAAAAAAAAATATATATATATATATATATATATATATATATAATAAATACAAAATGTAAATGCAAAACGTTGGCTTAAATGATTATAATGAGCTTTTTGCATTTTTCTCCTGTTGTCGTGCTAACGTTAGTTTGCTGACAATATTAGCATAGCTAGCTTATGTTTGCGAACCTCAACAAAGTCAAAAGGTCAGTACAAGTTATTTGCTGCTTAACGTTACATTACACAACTTTGCAAGTTTACAAGTTGCAGTCACATCAAAATATGAAGGTTCTATTGTTTACCTTCGTGTTATTGATGTGGGTTATGTAATGGACGCGATACATTGCATTAAATATATGCTCAGTAGTCTTCTTTATTAATTACCAATAAGCGTGATGAAACAATATGCTGTGCAATACAATACAGTTGCATTTAAACACTATCTATTGATAAGGAAGCGCGATAAACATTTGATTGTCTAATTTAACACACATGGGATATTTTTCTACGATAGGTCCTGGTGATGGAGCCTGGAGTTCTGCAGTAAGACGCTATTAGGAGGACTTTGCACTTGGGTTGAATTTTTCTCTTTGTTAACTCAACGTCTTTAAAAAAAGATGGTCATTCTTTTAGGTATCTGATTACTGGTGCAAGTTGCCATGGAAATCCTGCGCTATTTTAGCAAGTTATTGTTGCAGAATGTGTTGGAAAGGACTTTTCTGTCAATCTTACTGTAAGTGTGTCACAGTAAATTCATGCATCTCAAATACCTTCACACTTGACATTCACGATCTCTCTCGTGACACACACACACATCACCACTTGACGTTTCTCTTGGAGCTGTGACTACTGATTTTTCTCCAGCAGCAGCTCTCCCCCCTCAGACGCTCTGCTCCCTGTTTGGGCACTCTCTGCTCCACTTCCTCGCTGACTGTTGCGTGACTCAACAATAACTTGGCTGGCAATATAAATGCTGACTCGTGCGTTTGTCAAGCAAAAAGGTCGCGCCTCGGATGTTTTGTGTGACACTGTGCGTGTATGCATAAGCCATGGTTTGCCGGCTTGGTTCGGGACCGCAGAGCCTCTCGGTGTTATTGTTTTATAATCCTAATGAAGTACTGTAGCAAACGTTTTTGAATATTTCGCACAACATGATTGGTTGATGCCTGTCTTCGCAGTAGGAAAGCTCAGAAAAATGGTCAATTTGTTGAATTTTTTCTGGTTCTGTAAATTCACTGAAGCGTCCTGCAGCCTATTACGTGGAGGTTACACTTCCAGAGCATCGGCACAGAATTAATGACACCACTTTTGATAAGTATCAGGTTGATCCCTGATTAATGTCTACTGGGGCAAAACATGCTAAGTACATAAATCCAGGATGATTCAGAGAGATTAAATGGATGTAAACCAGTGGTGGTAATTCATGACTTGACAGAAACATAAACACATTGCCTGTACATGGATATATACACACAGAGAAGCACACATAGGCCGAGAGAGAAGTTAGTATATGAACATCATGCTGTATTGAAGAAGACTTGAAACTAGAGATTGAGACCATAAACTCATGTTTACAATGTTTACTGAGGGAATAAATCAAGAGAGAAGTAGAGTCATTTTCTCATAGACTTCTATACAAACAGAGGAGTCGCCCCCTGATGGCCATTAGAGAGAATGCAGGTTTAAGGCCCTACCATCACTTGTCAGAACTGGTGGTTACTTCCGTGCCACTATATAGGTGGTATTACATGAAAAGTGGCACTGCATAAGAAGTGGAATCACTCCCGTTACTCTGGCCCAATGGCGTTGGCACCCATTTAAACAATACCCCGATATGCCACACACACTACAACTCTACCGTTTACACTCATCCTCCTCTTCTCGATCCTTGATCCCAACTTGAACCCTCATTACTACATGGTTAGCTTCAACATTTAACCTAAACCTAATCCTTTTTTTAACCCTCAACCCAAGTCATAATCCTAAACTAACCTGACAACTAACCCTTACCTTGAAAGTAAATGTCCCAAAACCAGAAGAGCCCCGGTCTTTAACTGACCCTTTGTAGGAGTTCAAGCTGACTTCATTTGACTTCATTTTGCAAAGTGTCCTCACTCAAAATTGCTTAAAAACTCAAAGGTGTTGAAGAACACACACACACACACAATCCCCTCCTCCAGCTCAAGATTAATGAACTCTCATGAATCGTGGAGGGACCCAGAGGCCCTCGCGTGCCGGCCTTCTTGGCAGGGAGCCTGTTGACTTCACTTGCCATAACACACGGCGACAGAGGAGAAATCCCCCCCCCCGCTCTGCATGCCTCGCTGCCACTGCGAGCTGAGCACATTTAAATGACCTATATAAGTCTCGTGATGATTCAGTGCATCGGCCTGCGGATGTGTTTATGTGTTTGCATAGGGAATTATCCGTGTGTATTAGCAGAAAAAAACTGTCAAACAGCTGCTTGTTGCTGGTATTTATGCAAACTGACGTGTTTTATCACAATGTCATATGAAGCAGGATACCGCTGCCTGGAGGGGACGTACTGCGAGCTATCCTGAGGGTGCGCTACACGACGCGAGTGTCATTTTTGCACACAGCACCGAATGAGACACTGGTGTTACTTTCCAACACAACAAATGTTAACGAAAAACAAAGTGTTGTGTCCTATCCTGATTAGTTGACAATGACACATCTTGTTTGGCAGTGCAGGTGATAAGGACTTCTACTGTGACACCACTTAATTTGCGTTTTCCATCTGTCCATTAAAACTAAAGAGTAAAGCGTCTTTTTTTGCGTCACCAAACATAGGCAAGCAGTAGTCTTCTTTACTTATGTGGAAAAGTAACGATCTAAAGTTTCTGGTACGAGACATTCAGTCAGCAGATAATGAGAAAGGGAGGTCAGCACTCAAAAACGTTCTCAGTGGACACTGTATGTATCTTTGTAGATAAGTGGCACAGAATAACAGTTATTCATTATCTTAAAAGGTAGGGTTGGTAACCTGCTTCAAAAACATTCTGGTCACATTTGTTGAAATTTTCCTTTCATCCTGACAGCAATGAATGAATCTGACAAAAAAGAAGAACGTCTGGGGGCTCGCTTCTCAAATGGCTTCATTTGATGCAAAAGGAACACCAAGTTCCATCCAGATAACCAAGCTCCTCACCCTATCTCTCAGGGTCTCTGTGGCCTAGCCACTCTGCCAAAGAAACACCTTTCAGCCGCTTGCATCAACAATGGCATTATTTCCATCATTA